GATTAAAATCCTAAAGATATCCTATCTACGTGGTATAGGTACTCACAACCTCTAATCATAAACAGTTACATTTGGTATCCCCAGCAATACTCACTATGGTCATTGGGCAAATGTAAAAATCACAAACCCTAACAAGATTCTGTCTACATGGTCACACCCGGTGATTGTGAAGATCTCAAATTCTATCAACAGTCAGACAGCATGGCTGTTCATATTCATTTCCAACATCCTCTTATAATTAGTATAAAAGTGTCCCACACAAAACTTTCTTTTATTTATTCTTTCAAAATACAAAACAGAAAGTGGGGTGTGGGGAAATGGGACATATTCCTACGTGAAATAATGAGACATTAGTAGTGGTGACGGCTATATCATAATTGTACTGTCTAAAGCATAAATTTGGCGAACGAAAAACGTTATATTTGCAATCAAGTGGAATGACTCATGTGGGCAAAATGAATATGTTCGCAATCCACAAACAATCATTTTATTAATGGTGAACATTTACCAACCCGCGACAATCGTGTCAACACGGGGGTTCCCCTAGCTATAAACTCGCATCTTAATTCAACTACTGTTCTACTGTCGGCTAGCCACAATGGCTAGACTGGACCCTAGTGGAATGGTTCATGCCATAAAAGTCTAGCAACCGAACACTAATTAAGACGGGCCAACCTTGTATTTATGGTCTGGTGAACACAGCTCAATGGCCGCTCATTAACTTAAATTTCACATCTCACTGTTTTGTTTTATCTCACTATTCATTTGATAAATTTGTCAACTTCAACTGGAACCCGGTCCCGTGTTACACACGTGTGCAACGAGTGCTCAACCCGTGTCCAACGGGTGCTCAACCCGTGTGCAACCTGTTGAGCACCCGTGTCACATGCGTGTTATAAGCGTTCTCAAACCGTGTTAGGGGAATGGACTTCTATGCAGTAGTGTACCCAGTGTTCGAAATACCTGCCTGCCCGACCGTCCGAGACGGGTTGATTTCAACTCGGGCTGCCAGATTTTCAAATCCCCCTGCCCGACGGTCGGGTTTTATTTCATATGTAAAAATATTCTAAATATTTCCGGATGATAAGCATTATTTACATGATGTATTCTAGGATATTAAATACAAATCTAACCTAAAAAGTGTTTGCTATTTCTTTTCTTGCATTACGTCATGTTTAATTAAATCGATTTAAAGTTTTAATTAAATTATCCTGAGAAACATGATTATAGTGGGCAGGCAGGTTTTGGTCAGGGCTGGCAAGTATTTCAGCTAGCCAGTCCTGTAGTCTGGCTGAAATATTTTGGAGTTTCATACCCTGGTGTACCTTTTCGATAATTTGGGAAGGATAAAAACGGAAGGTGTCGGCAGGCTACAGTAATGATCGTGACCTTATTGATAACTCAGGGGCAGCTAATCTTAGTTCATACTCTAACTGAGAGTGGTTTCCCTTTGTATTCACCCGGCGAGGCTTTGCTCAATGTTATAGTTTTCATAAAGCGCAGAGTTCCGCTGTTATATTTTCTAGATCGCATTTGTGTCAATGCTTTTGTCTTTATTTTCGCAATTTATAAAATAATAACAATCTACATATGTAAAAAAAATTAATAAAGGTTTCGCATCAGTTTTTACATCTAAAATCGTGTGGGACGAGCCATTTAAACAATTGAATTCTAACTATACAGTTTAGTATTTATTGACTTAACAAGGATATATATGTGATCAAATATTCGTATGGTATATTTAATATTTTTCTCGTAAAAGTAATTCTACTTTGTTTCGTTTTAAATACAATACCTAGGTTATCTATACTATTGAAAGACAAATATTTGATAACAAGTGATTAAAAACTGAATGTTGAACAATTGCATTCTTGATGATGATTAACGGCATATAGATGTAAACATATAGATGTAAACATCCATTAAACATATAGAGGTTATCACGCGAGTGTGTTTGGGGATGGTAAATATCCTGCATTAGGAATAAACATTGTATTTAGCGAGCCTTGGCGAGCTAAATACATAGTGTTTATTCCTAATACAGGATATTTACCATCCCCAAACACACAAGCGTGATAACCTCTTTATCATATAATGTCATTCTTTAATTCTGTGCTTAAAAATCGCTTTCCCTCTCTCACAAACATAACCGAAACATTTCGAGTTTTCCTGCAATGCGCGCATTAATATTTATTACGTCAGAGGGTAAGTGATGTGTCAGTCGGACAGTGACAGTAGCCAATATAGTTCCAACTGAAATCTATTTCTTATACAGTGGCGAAGCAACATAAACGCAAAACAACAATTGTTTTTAATTGCCTTTTGCGGCAATCCATCGGTCTGTTCGCTAGAGTAACTGCCCTTTGTCAAAGGGAAGCTACTCTAACCCTAGTCTCTGAGACGTCACGGCCACGGTCAGACCTTGTTGACAGTCGGTCTGTCCTGTCATAACGTTAAGAAGTGTAGTCAGATGTACACACAGCGACAAAACGCAACAAGGTAACAATTCACATATATTTCGGCCAAATCCAACTTTTTTAATTTGTGGTGAAGGTTTCAAGCCGCAGAGGTCTACAAGCACAGATATGGCTACTGATCCCGCTTGGCTAGCCTAGGCCTCGTGCCCTCGCAAATTTGTTTCGAAATTTATATCTCCAAAGTTGCCCAAACTTATAAAATGCCTTATCTACGTCACAGCTGGACACTGATTTTCAGTATATTAGACTGTTCTTTTGATAATGATAGCAATTATCCCTGTAGTTTATCCAGATTGCCGATGGTTAATTCTGACTCGATCCCCGAATGACGAGGGCGACGCCATGTTTGTTTATAAACAGTGAAAGTAGTCCCTACTTGACCTTTGATATTTGTATCTCTATCCGCATATGACCCCAACGGATATCGTTTTTATCCGTTGGCTTTATCCTGCCGAGAAACCTACCCGTTATATGATAAAACAATTTATTGAAATTTTTACAGCAAAAGTTTTAAGCACAGATTTTCATATCGAAAAATCAAATAAAGAATTGGTTCCCATGCTCGTTTGGGTTTGAAATGTCGTCAAAAAGTAGAACAGTTTGAACATCGTCCAAAATTCACTTTCCAATATATGTTTGCAGAAAACGTTTATTGAATGAAGTTTACTGATCAATATATAATAGACTGTTTCAACACAATAATCTTTGAATTTTGCATTCAATAAACCGATTTTTAAATAATAATTGATTTTGGTCTTTTTAATATTTAAGTGTACATCTATCTGTTTTATGTTAAAAATATATAGATACTTGAGACCATTCAGACAATAAAATCGTTGTAAAGTATAGGCCAATGGACAAATACTAGTAAATGATCCTCAGCAACGCTGTCAGACAAGCCAAACTTCATCTAACGACGTTCTGGAATAGATTTGACACATTTACAATGTATTTCGCTCCTCAGCCAAATTTAAATGCAATCAGACAAATCAGTTTATTAGCTCTACTTAATTTAAATGGATAGAAAAGGACTACACTATATGTATGTTCAAGTTAACTTGTGGCGTGTTCCATGTGACAACATAACTTGACAATTCCTAAATTATCTCTCTTTGCGAACGACAATTAGTGTCACTTTTAAATTTTGAAAAGAATTATAGGTCTAGATAGACCCAGTATACATCATGTAACATCAGACTTGAACACGCATCTTAAATGCTGAACGCCTGCTGTTCGATCAAAGGTCTCATCTGGTCATTGTCATTTAGAATAACGTCCCTTACTTTAGTCCTTGACTTTGTACGCAACGTGTCCACATAAAGTTATGCGCGCTCGCGAGAGGACCATTTGAAGGGAAAGTAGTGAAGTATCTTTTTGAACCTTATTTCAATTCTTATATCTGTAAGTGTGGTAACACTACACTTATTGATTATAACATTTATTGGGTTTGAAAAATGCCTTTGCATGGCTCACAAATGCTATTTGTGTTCGGGTAGTCATCTCTTATCAAATGTCTACATGTAGGACATATATATTGTACGGAATGTCACTCAAACAGTTGCGTGTCAAACAGTGTGACCTGACAATGTGATCATGAATTCCATGTCACTTCTCCATATGTTGTCATTGCAAGCGATGGGGAAATCCCCGTGACGTCACTGGGAAACACCCCGCTTTTTCAATCTCCAACACAAATGAGTTCTCTGTCCGAGTTACGATAGGTATCGTAGCTCTGTGCAATCTGCGACAGGTGTACAATAGTTTCGAAAATCTATCTTATCTTAAACTTAAGATATCTTATCTTTGAACTTAAGTTGTTAAGATTTATCTTAGCTATGATTGTTTCGAAAATCTAGGCCCTGACTTTTACTTTAACTATTTGCCCAGTGAGGATGTGATACCTATCTGAAAACACTGACTACTTGCCAGACCTCAACGCCACTCCGGATTAAAGAACAGGGCATGTGCTACATTAAAGACATTGGACAGTGACTTCATTCTGGTCATTTTTTTCGGAGCCTGTAACATTTTGCTGCTACCACATATTTCATCCATTGAATTGCCCCTTGTTACTGTAAATCTAATCGTTTGAGTATCAATATAATTTGTTAATTTTTCGTCTAGCTTGTGTGCAGTGCCGTAGCCAACCAGGAGGGGGGGGGGATTTTTTATAGTAAACAGTTTTATTTGAATCATGAAAATACAAGTTGGGGACAAGTGATATTTGTACAAATATTTGTGTACATACAAATTTCTGGCTTAACCTTTGCGTTTCGACTTGGGAATCACCTCGTAAGAAATGTTAGTGTACAGGACATAATTCTGCATTCTGTATACCCATGTTTTGTGATATCTTAAATTACTTTATGGCCAAAGTTCACTGTTGCCTTGCATATGCTGAATGAATAAATACTTCCTGTACTGATGTTAGTATATGATACCAATTGTAACTGATTATTCATTACTACCAAGGTATTTTATTACGACAGAATAAAGTTCTGTCTCCGACTATGTTCATTTCACCATGTTCTTCACATCTGTCACACCAGTGGCACTGCAATACACGACTCTGGCCTTCGGCAACATCCTGGAATAGACACAGGACAATTTCATAACCAGTACTTCAATCGTGCACAAGGAGTATTTTGTAATGTCAATCAATATCTTTATCAGCCAGTGCCCAGGTACATATGTTTGCTATGTTTACATACATACCCAGAACCTTTCTCCAGACTTTTGGTAAGATGCTAGTGATGTATATACACATAGTTGTGGTCTGACATGTCCTTTAATCTCACCTTTGTATAGACGTAACTGCAACAGCTATCTTTGTACTAGCTTGCTCCTTATTCTGAAAACATTCGATAAAGATAACTGATCTAGCTGTCTCTTACATTTGACTAAAGTTCATTGTGGGCATTCATCTGTGGAGCTGGTATACACACAGGGTTGATAATACAGTTCTGTGAAGTGACCATCCATATCCCTGATGCTCTATGTTTTTCACGAACATGATAAAATGGACAGAGTGAAGTTATGCATTAAAGCATTATGTTTGTAAAGAGCAATCATCTGAGAACAAACAAAACAAAACAATTTTGAGCCAGAATGAAATTTTAATTGAGATATGGTTGCCCAAACACCGGTACTGTTTTTTCCAAAACACAACACCCTCTATAAGTATAGCACTGCTAATCTGGAACAAAGATAAATTATTTAACATAATGAATAAAAATGTGTATTAACGTCCATTAATGACATTCGTGTGTCAAAAAGTTTAATAATGGGTGGGGCCTATGCATGCCTGGATGACAACCTCGACCCTTCTCCTCGTCCCTCCAGTCAGACGTCGGATCATCTCAAGGGGAAATAGCGCCCATTCATGATCCAAAGTTGCTGCAAATTCATCCAGATTGTGTGGAGAGGGCCAATTGCCTACATTCTACGCACAAGAATGTCCCAAATGTGCTCTATGGTGTTAAAATCAGGACTCATTGCAGGCCAAGGTAGAGTTGCAATGGCGTTTGCCAAACATGCAGTCACAAATCTTGAACGGTGGGGTCTAGTGTTATCGTCCATGAACAGGGCTCTTGATGCCAGAGGATGGTTGGCAAAATGGGGAACACCAACTGGTTCCAGAACTTCCCGGATGTAACGTTTACCATTGAGATTGTCCTGTATAGTCACAAGGTCAAGCTTGCAATCATGGGATATGCACCCCCATATCATCACAGAGCCACCACCGAAACAGTTGGTTTAATGTTCTTTGGGGTGTATGCTGTACCTTGGTGCCTCCACACTCTTGTTCGGCCATCATTCACATGCAGCTGAAACCTGCTTTCATCTGACCAATGGATACGTCTCCATGTTCTGAGGTTCCACCCTTGGTGTGCCAAACACCGTTGTAATTGCAGTCTCTGATGACATTATACCAGTAACGGGTGTTTGACGACTCTTCGGGGCCTCATTCCAGCAGCCCTTAAACGATTCCCCAATGTTTGGCCAGACAGACGTCTATGGGGTAACCAATTACGCCTCAGGTATGTGCTTGTCGCAAATGGATTTCTTCGCACAAATCGCAGTAATATCCTGCTATCTCCTGATGTCACAGGAGGGCATCCTGTAGGTGGCAGGTCCTTTTCTGAATTGGTTTGGGCGTATTTTCGGACTAGTCGGCTGATTACTGAGTAATGGTAACCCAGTTGACGTCCAATCACCTTGAAAGACATCCCTGCGGCATGCATACCAATGATTCTCCATCTTAGTGCATCACATAATCTCCTTCTTGCCATTTTCAGACTTGACGATGACACAAATCTGTTTACAGTGTTCCAGTATTTGCTGCGTGAACATACTGTCTTTTGCTGAATGCTAGAGAGGCATGGTGCACGTGCAAAACACAGGAAATTGAGACGTCACCATCATGCATGAACGGTCACATTATTCGGACAAAACAACATTAATATCATAATTAGCCATCAACATTAAGCATTATGGTAGTGTATTATCATACATAATATTAGGGGGTGCTTAACTTTTTTTGATGTGTATTTATTTTTTAACAAAAACAGAGCAAATATAGATATGCTTTTTCAAGTACTTTTATTTCATATAGTCCCGTTACTAGTATGTTCTCAAACTAGAATTAGGAGATGAACTGTGTTATCCGGTAGAAGCTAGGTTACTTACCTGTAGATTTAACTCCTCTAAATTGAATTTGAAACTGAACGGGCAGTTAACAGTTTGACATAACAGTTGGTTTTTGAAAAAATACCAATTTTCAAGCTGTGTAGTTGATAGAAACTCATGTAAGTCCACATGTTCAATTTGGACAGTTTCTTTGAGTTCTTTCAAAACGCCATATATTTACTCCATGTTTTTCATACTAAAATTCTACATATATGAAGACTGGGAGACTCCCAAATGTGTGAAAAGGTTTTACAAATATAAACCATGAAAAAACAAATTTCGCCAGTTTTTACAATCATGTTTTAATGGACGAAGTGAGAAGTGAGCATATATATACTCAACAACAAAAGTTCCTGTCACACCAATTTTTTAGTGTTTTTTTTCAAACAAGTAAAGTTTGGTTTTCAATATTGTAGTACATGTATGGAATCAAGTCACAAAAACGCAACTGCTACAGAAAAGCATGCATTCCATGCAAAAGTTGACTTTTATGCAAGCCCCGCTACCGCAACGAGATCATCGGCCCTATTGTTCTACTGTTTTTGCGTCGTCATGGCCCAGGCATTACCTTTCAACATGACAACGCCCGGCCTCATATTGCTCGACTTGTTCAGGATTCTCTTCAACAAAACAACGTGAATCGAGCACATGTGGGATGAGATGGATCGGCGCCTTCGCCATCAACCATGTGTTCCACAGACACTCCAGGAACTTCGAAACATGCTCCAGCAGATAGGGACAGATATCCCACAGGACTTTGTGCAACGCCTGGTCCATTCCATGAGATGAAGATGTGTTGCTTGCATCGCAACCAGAGGTGGACACACACGCTATTGATTTGTAAATTGACATTTTGGCATTTTCATGTTTTTTTATGAAATCATGCATTTTCTGAAGTCAGTATGGCAAATTAAACCATTTGAACACTTACAGGAGTCTTTTATCTGTTGCAAACTGAAATTGTTTCAGATTTGGTAAAAAACATAACTTTGCATTAAATCTTATTCAATTTCACAGGAACTTTTGTTGTTCAGTATATTATACAGGATTGATTTTTCCGGAAAAAATAAAATTAGGATATTTTCATGATTTGTATCTATGACTTATAGAACATTCTTGTACAATATTCAATTGAAAAATTATCTTTTTGAAATTTGGTATGATCAGTCAATATCTTTGAAACTGAACCAATCTAAAATCCTTTTCAGTTAGTACAAACCATGTAATAACATTGACACATAAACCAGAGTCATAGTTTAATGTTTTTACCACATTGCGAAGCACTGTTTTCATTTATCATTTATAATAGTTTGTATAATCTACTGCACACTTGTGAGATGCTTTTCAATCTATGAATTTGGTGTTAGGCCATGCATTGGTGTTAAAGCAAAGGCAGTTACTAACATGGATTACCCTTCATTCCCCAACACTGCAGGAGAAAGTGCCATGTTATGGATCATCTTTCAAACATGGGAAGCAAAAGCATTGAACTTATATTTCACATTCCAAATCTTGTTACCTGGTAATAAGTATTGTGATGCCTTTCATGAGTGAACATCACAATGCTTTGGCTAAAAAAAATGGTACTCAGACACCACCCACATCATAATACATAAAGTTCACTGTATGTTTCATTTTCATTTCCTTTTTCAAAAAAAGGGAGAAAATCCTTAAATATTCCGCGTCTCAAACACACAACCCTGGCAGTGTAAGGCTACAATACTTAAAAACAAGGCAATTCAAGATAGCGTGCAATTACTTCCCTTTACATACGCACTGCTTTACTGAGTATCTTGTATAATGGTCATGATGGTGTGCTTGTTTTGCCTTTATCAAATTTGGTCAATGAAAACATGAAATTTACGATAAAACATCACTAAATATGGTGATATACAAATTCAATGGTATTTGTGTACTGTATGCCAGACAATGCTTCATATGCAGAGATTAAGATTACATGTGTATTTGTAGCAATCAGCTGTTCACACACTTTCTCCCCTATGTGATTTAGTTTTAAAAATACTTAATGTCATGGCCAATACCATAACTCAAAAGAAATTTCATACAGTGACAGGAAGACCAAAGACTTTATATCACTATCGACTAAAGTAGTATAGGTATTGGGGGTTCTGCCGCAACCCGACTGGCGCCAGATTTATATACCTATACTGCTACTAAAGGGGAATTTTTTATGCAAAAATGATGATGCGATTCAACGATCGTCATGATTCGTATTAAAAGAAACATCAATAATAATTTACAATGGATAAAATTTACTATAGCCCACAAGGATACTGGAAAGGTATAGGAGCAATACAAAAATTAGCCACTGCGGCTAAGGTATCTAAAGATGTAGCCAAGGATTGGTTAAAGAAACAAGCGATGTGGCAAATATACTTACCGGCACCGCGTTATATACCGAGGAAGAAGTTTGATATTTTTACAACGAATGAAGTTCATCAGGCTGACCTCTTGTTTCTTCCCCATGATAAGATGCAAAACGTATAAATACACTTTAACCGTAGGGGATGTGGCGCGCTACAAGGAGGCTGAACCATTAACCTCAAAAGATTCAACAGAAGTAGCTAATGCACTGAGCCGCATATATAAACGCGGGCCACTGAAATGGCCTAAGTTATTTCAAGTAGATCCTGGTTGCGAGTTTATGGGATCAGTATCTAAACTATTAACAAAGCACGATGTCGCAATCAGGCATGGTGAAAAAGAGACCCACAGTAGTCAAGCTATTGTCGAAAGATTTAACCGGACATTAGCGGAACGTTTGTTTGGATATCAGTATGGGATTGAAATGAAATCGGAAAGATTAAGATCAACTGAATGGGTGACACGATTATCAGCTGTTGTATCAGCGCTAAATAATGAAGTAATGAGATTAATCGGGAAGAAACCATCTGATGCGATTAAAATGAAATCTGTGACTTCTGAATCTTCAGCACCGAGGAGAGGCAAAGAACAAAATCTTCTGGATAGAGTAAGCGTAAGATATTTATACCAGCCCGGGGAACTCAAAGGAGGCCTATGTCACGCAACCGATCCGATTTGGTCCCTTAAAATATATAGCATTAGTCGATTGGTAATGAAAGAAGGAGAGCCTATTCTTTATTATCTTAAAGATTGACCGGGCAGGGCATTTGTACGAGA